AAAGTATAACCAATAATATTTTAATTTCAACAAACCAATACCAACACTTAAATAACCTTATCAACCAAATCACCAATACATTCACACACACTCCATCAAGCCACAACACTATTTACATCATTTTTCGTAATATTTTCCAATATGGCCGGATGTGTGCATCCAAGAAATCCAAGGATTTTTCAACTAATTCACAAGCTTAAAATTCTTTTCAAACTTCATAATTTATGATTCAAACAACCACCAATCAATTACATCATCCATCAAAGACTTCCTTTACAAATCATCATTCTTTCATTCTTCAAAATTTGTCTAAGTGTTGACACTAAAATTATTTAAATTTTGAATTTGAATTTTGAAATTTGAAATTTGAATTTGAATTTAGGATTTAAATGTTTGAACGTTTGAATTTAAATGTTTGAATTCAAATTTGAATTGGCTATGAAAAGTTGTTTCATAACAAAAGGATAAGATGAGATCTTGTTGGAACAAATCCCTTGTATCAAGAGAAGATTTATGGAGATCTCCATGGGCTGATTTGGGGCGCCATTTTGGTGGGAGATGATTGTCATCTTGTCAAACCAACAAGCTCCAATCAGATTTGGTTGTTGAGAGAATCAGTGAGCTAGTTGGTTCAAACTTGAATGCAACAGCTCAAATGTATCTGGACCCTTTTTGGGCTGAATAAGGGCGCATGAATTGGTAGTCATATGATGACCATTGGTTCAGAATTTTGACTAGATAAAAACATAGTCTAATGAGGATTCAAAGGGGAGGTTGTTGGGATTTTTGAATTGCAACAACTCTACCTTTGTCTCACTCACTTGTGCGCCACTTTCATTATAAGTAAAGTAAATTTTTTGATTTGATACACTAATTCTCTCCCTCTCTTGTGCGCCTAGTTGGTGAGTTCCTCCTTAAGGTTTTTCAAAAGAACCTAGCCAATTCTTCTATATACCATTCCCACTCTTGTGAAGTTTTCATGCTGGAGACTTCACTCTTCTAAACACATATACCTAGCCTCCTCCTTCACCTATTGAGCGCATAGCAAGCCTCTCTGTGGTGGTCAATTGGTGGATTTCAAGAAAGCGTTCTTGCATCTTGACGCGGGTGGTGTGGATCAACGTTAGAGGGTTTGAACCCTTCAAACCTAACACTGATCGTCTTGGAGTTTTGAACTCACAAACAAAGGTAACATCATATGCCATAAAGCATGATTCTTGATTGCATGTGTAATTCTGCATATGAAAAATTTTGTTTTTCCCTCTCACATGCTACGGCCTTCAAGGCCATTTTACTTTCAAGTGGTATCAGAGCCCGGTTGCTTTACCATTGGCGGGTGATGGTACTTTGTTTGTGAAATTAATTTTCTCACGGTTAAAAGGTCTTTTTGTTAAAGATTAATTCTTTGCATGTGGATTTTTTTTATGAACCTGTTTAATATGATTATGGTGTTCATATATCTACATGACCTCGTGGTTTTGTTTGTTTTGATTCTTTGTGAAAGTTTTCAAAAGAAACATTTTTTTTGAAAAGGGAATATGATTCTGCCATGATGTGAATATTCAAATGCATTATTTTCTCCATGATTTTATTTAATAAAATTTTTGTATATGATGATGTATGGTTCGGCCATATGAGTTATGGTTGAATAAATGGTTTAATTTTTGTGATCTTTGAGAAAGATTTGACAAAGATTTGAATTATGCATAAAGATGCAAAATTCGACCATTGGGAGAAAATTGGAAATTTTTTGAATTTTGATTCTTGTTTTGATATTTTAATTGTTAAATTATCAAAATATATGTGAGGAAACTAAGGCGTTTGAAGACTACTTCGCAGTGTCAAGCCTTGGCTGAAACAAAAAGGAGAGGCTAACAAGTTAAACTCGAAACCTTCAAAGCCCTGACAATATAAGCCGGGCCAGATCAATATCTAAAAAAGGCCCAAAAATTACCTTTGAAGATTTAAGGCCTTGGCATAACAAGTTGGGCCATTGTAACGAACAAAAGAGAAACCCAAAGCCACCTCTGAAATCTAAGGCGACGACAACACAAGCCGAGCTAAAGGAGTGAAGTTACTGTAGTCCAGGAGCAAAAAAATATGGGTGGGAATGAGGTGAGAGGAATAGAGAAAAGGTTGAGAGAGAGGAGAGAGAAAAAAAATTAATACATGTGTCAATTTTTGAGTGGAAGGACCAAGGTGGTCCTGGAGCATATTAAAAAATTCTGAGCTAAAAGAACTTGAACAAAAAGAATGACAAGATGCATCATAAGAGCATAATAAAAGTTGAAATTGAAATGGCCATAAAGGCCGGGAACAAACTCGACAATATACTTTACAACACAAAAAAAGGCTCAAGCCCCCACAAAAGGAAAATGTAGAAAGATTACCAAGTAAGACGACATGTCAACACACAATTACTCGCCCACAATCCCTGATGCAAACGTTTCATAGTGCAATCATTGCACACAAAACTCAAAGGCTACAAACGTTCCCCCAATGCATGTCCCACAAATAAGGATTAGACACGTGTAAAGGTATAACCACTAGAAAGAGATACAGGAAGACCAAAAGCCATCATCCTGGACAACCCTAGCAAGACGACTCAAGAACCTGGACCGGTTTAAGGAAGCCGAAAAAATCATATACGAAATATTAATCATCCTACTAAGCATTTATTGCACTGATGACATTGAGTAAATTTGGATTAAGACTTAAATTGGGCTCGGTGTCATTAGGATCAACATATAGTTCTTGAATCAATCCAATAGAAGCTTTTTAAACCTTTTGGCCCGTAACCTTATAATGGGCGCAATTGGCAGCTACAATGGATCCTTAAATGTTATGATCTTATCAAACACGTTGCTAGTTAGGGGTGTTCGCGGTCTGGATTGGATCGGTTTTGAAGCAAAAATCATCGAATCTAATCCCTTTGGTTTGAATATTTTTTAAAATCCAATTCAATTTTATTCGGTTTGAATTGGATTGGTTTTCGATTTTTCGAAAAGCCTAAAATTTGAATGATACAAATTACTAGCTATGTCATAGTAAAGTCATTCAAGATTATAAACCACTAAAAAATTCAAGTCTTCAAACTAAAAGTCTTAAAACTCATGAAGACTTAAAATAGATTAATAGTCAATAAAAAACTAAAACAAGATAATTTGTTATCAATAATATCCAGATTTCAAGTCTACAAAACAACAAGTCATCATCTTTCGAAAATAATAAATATATAATACATTGTATCGGTTTATACTGGATCGATTTTTACCAAACAAACTGGATCAATTTTTACCAAACAAACTGACAAACTGAAAATCAATCCAATCCAATTAAATTATGTGATTTTTTTTTTTTATTTTTGATTAATTCGATTATCGGTTCTTTTATTTGGTCACCCCAATACCCCAATTTGAATCGGTACGGATCATGAACACCCTTGTTACTAGGTCCTACAAGTGGAAGGAAGCCAGTGGCAGGCGTTCGTTCTCAATGATCAGATAATATTGGATATAACGCTCATTGGCAAACAACCACTTGTTGGATCCCTCGAGCAAAAACGGGGAAATCCAATTTCACAGATCTGGAGCGGTTGGCTGTCTATCCTGCTGTGATTGCATGTGGGAGGAGGTTGCACCCAATATGCCAGTTGAGGGTTGGATGGTAGGTCCTATAGCTTGTGTTTGATTCTTCAAGATCTGCGCCAAGTCCGGCCAAATCTTATCATATGAATCCTACAGTTGAGTTTGGGACTCTTGAAGGTTTTGAAATTGATGTTCCCTAAATAGTTTTGCAAGTTGCTGTTGAGGCACAACAACCTGATCGGCTAAATATCTATGTCGCCCATGCCGGATTAATAGTATTTTGGGTTGGGACAATGAACCTATTTGAAATGGCTCGTTTCCAACTGTTCCACGCAGGTAAGCAAGTCACGTATTCTAGTGTTTTCGGCCTTAAGGGAGATTGAGATCGAATGGAAACACCAGTGTAACAAGGGTTGAGAATTAGGGAATAACAATCTGCATATCATTTGCATCACGCTCCACAAATAAGTAGCCATCTTACCTATGGGTTCGATTGGGCTGATAGCTAACCTGATTAATTAACAGAATGTAAATACTAAACCTAAATGGAATGAAATAATTTAAACATTGCTGTAATAGAACCCAGCCCAATTCATATTTAACCCAGTACACAGTCGAGAGGTAATGCGTCTTCCTGGTGCTCCTCTTATTCTTAGGCCTTGCTCAGCTTGCTTGCTGGGCTGGAAGCGGGCCTGCCATACCCACAACAAAAATGTATAATGCATGAACACTTAAAAAATTTTTGACTTGTTATCAAAAAAAAAAAAAAAAAAATTTTTTGACTTATCATGTTCGACATTCTCGACACTTCAACACACCTTGTAGAGTAGAGACTTAAAAAAGGTTCAAATGTTACATTGCGTTTTTGGTTCTAACTATTAGATTCGTTTGATTACGATTACTATTTTATTGAGTTTAATATAAATTTTTCTGATATTTTATGTTTCTTTGCAAAATTTATTGGTATTATAAATTTAGCTTCATTTTTTTTATAAAACTATTGAGTATTAAATATAATATACACTACATAAATTTAAAATATTTATCAAAACGTGTCTTAACATGTCGAAATCTAATATTTTTTAAAATTAACGTGTCAGAGTATTGTATCGTGTCCCGTGTCGGTATTGGTACTAGGCAAAGATTGTAGTCAAAAGTTTCCTTTCAATAGCCAACACCGATTAAAATGAAAATATTATCAAGCATTACATAATCAAGTACACCCTTAACATACAATGACTAAATTTTCCAAGATTCAGTCTCCATCCATCAAGCGTTACATAAACAAATACACAAACAAACTTTTAATTGGAACTGTAAAATTATTATTCCAATCTACTAAAGTAGATTTTGCATAAAGCGCATCTCATCAAGCCAGTAATTTTAAAGTTTCAAATAAATGATGGATAATGCTTAGAACCCTATCCACGGTGAAGCAGGAGGCAGGCTTTCATAGAGGAATGATAAGATCAAGATCAGAGCCCGAGCTGGTTGCCAGCTTGGAACCGTATGTCCTGCTCCTCTTACTGTCACAAATGTCACTCCTTTGTATTTCACCACATATCCTCCAACCTGTGATTATGACAAGTTGGTCATATTGCCAATGGGGACTTACATGAGTTTTACTTGAACATCCAAGTAAACCATGTTCACAAATGTGTTTTATTTTGACCGTAAATGATTTTGACTGAAGCAATACTGAAATCTATTTTAGCTGTTTTTTGCGAATGAAAGGCAAAATAAAAAGAGGTGAGATGAGATAAAGAGACTCATTTCAGTACCTCATTTCCAGAATACCATGGATGCCATGCAACCTGGATAGGGAGCTTGAGGGTGTTGATTGAATATCTAGAAGATGTGACAGGCACCCTTGCATCTATATCACCACTGTACGATAACACATAATCTAGATTTAGGAGTTGGGATAGATAAAACAATATACAAACCTCATGGTTTTTATAACATCGAAGAATTAATGGATAACCAACTATTTATGTGTATTTCTGTATAGTGTATATGTTACATATCATGGTTCTTGTGGATTCAACATGTGATAGCATTGTTTAATACTTTAATGAAATTGAGCTTGCCTGTATATCCACAATTTAATATCATTGGCAATGAGATACTCGATGATGGGTAGGATGGTAGTGGGGCTGTCAGTCCAGTTAAAACCACTGCAAATTATTACAAAATATGACAAATGCTTGGTTAGCATAGAAAGATAAAGCCATGCAGGCATCAAATAGTAGTATTTTGTAAATTGTTGCAGGTAAATTACCTGCAATGGCTCCAATTTGTGGGTTTTGCATGAAGAGCTAATTGGACCTCTGGCCTATTTAGATAGGCTGTCCCGTAGTAATCAGAACATGGGTCAAAATCATATACCTGAAATTAAGTGTCAGAGGGTTTTTAAAATTCACTTGGAAATTTCATAATTGAGTTTAGAAAACCTTGGATTCTTAAAACATTGTTTTTATCATTCTAAATGAAATTATGAACTACTTTGGTAAGAAGATCTTGGTGCCAGTTTCATTCTTAAATTATAAAATTTTACACAGCATATCTCTAATGAGACTTCGGAATTGCTACCAACATGTGATCCACCAGTTCAGTCCAAGAAGTAAGACGTTAGCAGTTCTAAAAAACAAAAGAAGGAAAGAATGAGGAGGCGAAGAGAGTCAAATGACAGCGGACAACTAGTGTGATTGCTATAATATGCTCATTTTGGTTCAAAATTGGTGTTACTATTGCAATAAATGAAGTAGAGGAATGCACAGTTTATAATGTTGAATTACTTATGTTTTAAGAGAAAAAAAGGAGTGTACTTTTAAACAAAAAAAGCTTATGTCCTTTTAGTAATTTTTAATTATGTATTTTCGGAAATGTATTGTTATAATATTAAAGTTGTACTTTTTTCACTTTCTACGTCAGCAAACAGCTTCTGAAGTGAGAGAAAAAAAACTACAACTTTAATATTACAACTATCCATTTCCGGGAATGCATAGTTAAAACCTCTAAAAATATATAACTTGTGTATTTTAAAAGAACACTCACTAACCCCATATTTTAATGCTGAATTATATATATTTTGACAACCTTGTGTGCCACACAGTCTATGCAAAAAATGGACACCAGAATATAGGAATACTTACAGAACCAGTTGATCCATTTTTCAAAGAAGTGTCATGACACAGGGGAGCATAGATGTTATAGAAATCTATGCTCCCTTTCTCAGTTATGGCCCTTGTTGTTGCATTAAGGCATATTGCTGAAAGATTTTCAGAAGAGAAGTCGCAATACTTCTCAATCACCTCATGGGTTTCATCTGAGTTCAAAGCGTGAGCCCATAAGTAATCAAATATTCCCTTTAAACTTGTAGCATCATCAATCCAGGCATTCCCTATCTGAAATTTTCAGTACAGATCATGAGGTTAGAGAGATAAGTTAATAAGTAATACGATATAGGCATCATTTGAAGTTGTAGTCTTTGAACATACAGCAATGCCTTTGAGATTAACAATTGTTTGGTAATTCAATTTATTGCTTAGCAAAATGGTGTATGCAAGCTGAGGCACATAATGACCACCATAGCTCTCTCCGGTTATGTAAAAATCCCTGCTCTTGTATTCTGGAAACCTCTCTAACCAGTTTATGAGGAAGACATAGGCATCCTTGGCAGTAGACTTATCTCCTGTACGGTCATAGTCAGAAGTAGTGTTTGAGTAGGAAAAGCCAACTCCAGCAGGGGATTCCAAGAAGAGCACATTTGCAACTGCAGAATACAATGATGTGGTATTCAGGTCTAAGCTGAGAATCATCAAGGTTGAAATTTTAAAACACAAGAACTCGATGACTATTGTAAAGAACCAATTCAACCTAAAAGCTTAAGCGTGAGTATCGAACCCGGGACACCGAAACTTTAATACCATGCAAAGAACTAATTCAACCTAAAACCTTAAGCTATTGGGTGGGGCTACATTAATGATTTTATATATATCTAACAACTATATTCTCACCTTCATTCCAAGCATATTTGTTATTAAATAGTGTTTTGCCATCAGAATTGACTCTGAAGGGTCCCAGCTCCTCGAAGGCCCCATACCCCAGTGAGGAACAACCAGGTCCTGTGAGTTTCAAACATTATGGTATCAAGCGGTAATCCTGTATGATCTGCACCTCAAAATGCTCTGTTTTTAATCAGATGTGAATTTGTGAAGTTCAAATGATGATGCTGATAAATTCATTTATTCAGGATTCCCCATGTTCTTTTATATTCAAAGGGAAAACCATAGCAACTATAAAGTGATATATTTGTCTTTGGTAAGCTAGACTTTCATGTTTCCTCACTGTGAAAAGTGAAGAAAAGCTATCATTAAATAATAATAAATAATCAATCAATTGATATTATCTTGCGTTTATCACTGCAAAAAATGACAAGATATGCATAAAGCATTAAAAAAAAAGGCACATAAAAGAACATAAGTTATGAGCATAAAGCAGTTTGAGTTATTTTAACCTCCATTGAGCCACAATACTAAAGGTTTAGTTGAAGAGTTATATGGAGACTCCACAAAATAATAGAAAAGTGCTCTTCCGGCCACTGGATCAACTGTTACGTATCCTGCATATTGGTCAAAATTCACCCCATAGGGCTGGCCAGGCAATGCAACAATCTTGTCAGCTTGCCTTAAACCCTCTTGAGGTGCAACATTGGCAGAATAATGCGTTTTCATTGCATCTTCCTCTGCCCAAGAAAGTGTCATAGGAGGATTCTGTGAGCTCCTAGACAGAATCAACTCATCAAGTTTATCAGCCTGACTGGCTTTGCTATAAGGAAAAAAAGCCAAGAGACTCAAATTGAGTAAACAAGCATAAGGAGAGAATTTCTTCATCTCTTTCACAACTTGGTTTCTGTATCTTAAGTTTCTATCAATTTATAGACCAGAAAAGTTGGCAATACTGCGTAAATTAAATGGTTTTACATTTGTACCAAAAAATAAAATAAAATGGTTTTACATATGTTTGTAGGCCCGTGAAAAAAACTAGTGATAGATACCACTAGTACTATTGACCATGCATACATCAGCCGGCTGATTTAATTTAGTTTCGCATTTAAAATAGAATGGCTTATCCTTGTTTCTCTTTTTCTAGAATCATATGAAGTTAATATTTGATAATTTAGCACTTCGTAATTAACTACGAAAATTACTCGTTCCTTCAACTTATTCTTATGGTTTGATTTAGTTGTACATTATCTTAATCTCAGTTTCCCAATTGATGCCTTTGATGTACTGGTGGCCTAGCGGAATCATGTCCGTATCTGATATCAATACTCATACAACACACCTGATTCAATAAAAGAGAACAAATCATTAAGACAAAATAAAAAAGAAACCAAAATTTTAAAAGATTATATTTTGTTGGTGGAAACAATAAAAAATTATTTATTGAATTATTGTGTTTCTTTTTTATATTGGCACAAAACTTCAAAAAAATAAACAAAATAGATTAATATTAGAGGAAGAAAATATTTTGCATTTATTGTGTACGTAATGATAGGATTATAATAGTTGTCAGCATAATTAGTATGCATTGTCAACATATTGTTAGCATAGGATTAGAATTTGTTGTCAATATAATTAGTATGTTAATATTCTGCATTAAATAGAATTAAATAGAATTAGTTGTTAGGATAAATTCAAAATTCAAATAGCAAGTCTTTCTATTATATTCTTTTTGTATTTAAGAGTCATGTTGGCACAACAATGATATGGTTGTATTATTGTAAATCTTATAATAATATCAGAGCATTGATCCAAAAGACCGCTTCCTGATAAACACGCATAATGGAAGGCAAGTATAACATCAATCGATACTTCCAAAATGTAGTACATACAATGCAGAGTGACACTGAGCAGGAACGAGAATCCAACAATGCGGCAATGTTCTCTGCGCTTCGCCAGAGGTGGTACAAAGACTCCTATCCCTGGTTGAATCATCATCATCGAACCCAGATCAACTCTCTGGTAAGAATTGAAGCTCATATTTATGGTTGGTAGATAGCGGTGCTTCACAGCACATGACCGGTAACCTCAAACTTTTAAGTGACATTAAAGCAGAGCAGTCTGCGCGTGTCAAATTGCCTGATGGATGATTCACTTATGTTGTCCAACAAGGAATAGTTACTAATGCCTCAACTAGTCGTTACTAATGTCTTATACGTACCTGATTTGTGTTGTAACTTGCTTTCAGTTGCTCAGTCGACTGGGACAAAAAATAAACGTGTTGTCTTTACTGATAATGGATGTATATTGCAAGACCATCTTTCGGGATTGTAGATTGCCATGGGTAGGCAGCAAGTTGGAGTGTATGTGTGAAGCGCGATGCAGGACAACTCACAAAGTGTAGTGAATGCTGTTAGTAATATGGAATCGTTGGAAATATGGCATCAACGCCCGGGTCATCCTTCTTGTAAAAGTCTGTCTTCACTTCCTTTTATTTCAGTGACTGGTAATAAGAATAAATCTGATACTGTCTGTAATGTGTGCTACCAATAAAAATAGACGTGAAGCCCATTTCTTGTGAGCATTCACAAAAGTGTAGCATGTTTTGACTCAAATCAAATGGATGTTTGAGGGCCTTATAAAACATCATCTTCTATTGGAGCACACTATTTTTTGACTATTATTGATTATTGTAGTAGATCTGTTTGGGTGTTTTTGATGAAAAAAAGTAAAACCAACAATTTTGGACTATGGTGAAAACGCAATTCGGCAAAATAGTTAAAATGGTTAGATTTGATAATGATTCAAAATTTTGTGATCGTAGACTCAAAGACATATACGCAGCCATGGGAACTCTACACTAAACATCTTGTGTAGACACCCCTCAACAGAATGGTCGTGTAAAGCGCAAACACAGATAAATACTCATTGTAGCCAGAGCTCTAAGATTTCAAGCTCATCTTCTTGTCAGTTTTTAGGGTGAATGCATTCTTATTGCTGCTAATCTGATCAATCGTACACTTTCTTCACTTCTTCAAGGAAAAACTCCGTATGAAATATTGTTTGGCATTGCACCAAACTATTCTCATCTATGTGTTTTTGGGTGCTTATGATATGCACCACAACGACCAAAACCAAGGGACAAGTTTGCTTCTCGTTCATGACGATGTGTGTTTGTTGGGTACCTTTAAGCACAGAAAGGTTGGTGTCTCTACGATACTGATACACATGAATTTTTTGTTTCACGTGATGTGATGTTCTTTGGGCAAAGTTTTCCTTATGCTCAACATACTAATGTGGAGCAACCGCATAATCGCCCAAATTTGACACTTTCATACCCAATGTTTGATGAAGAAATGCCACAAGTTCCTTGCCTACTAGACCAAGAAACACCAGCATCTCATTCACCTATACAAACTGCACTTCCTTTGGAAAATAGGGGGAGGTCTTTTTCGCAACCAGCCACACCTCATATTCGCTCGAATGAAATCCAAGTATTGTGTGAGATCGTTGTTGCTCCAGAAAATCCTGAACCTGAACGCCTAGGCTGTGGACAATGTAACAGCCCGTTACGTACCAATGTTGTTAATATTCATTATGATATTAAGCGCATTTACAATAACAACAGTTAATTTAAAAGTGCGGGTAAATTTTTTCCTTTTCATTACGTAAGCGTTTGAATTTATAAACAACCAAAGCTAATTATGAATAAAGGAGAAAAAGAATACACCTACCTCAAGCAAACTTATCAACAATTTAATATTAGTTACGGGTGGTAATTAATAGTAGGGAAATAATAGTGTTTGATGTCTTAATATTTCAGGCCGGCCATAATTTGTATGATAATTCATGAACGTAGACTCCAAACATGCCTTCAACATATAATATTATTATTTTCTTCTCTTTTTCTGACTATGACTGCGAGTCATCAGTCTTCTTTTATGTCCTCTTACATATTTTATAGAGCTCAAAACCTGGCAGAAGTCTTTGATATTTTCCCTGTTTTTGTTTCTCGGCATATTCTTAAAACTCTGATAAAATTCAAATTAAGTTTTCTTAATTTACTGGTAGTAAAAAATTTCTCTAAGTACCCTAATTCATTTGCTAAGAAATTATGGTAAATTTGATTGTTGGTTGAAGTACAAATTTGAGAAACCTGGAGTTGTGGTTTGATTTGTGCATTAGATGAAATTTTCTAGTGTGTGATTTGAGTTTGGAGTTGAGTTTGTCCACGTACGTGCCTTGTTGCGTCTTGGTAGTCCTCTTATTTTTACCCACCACGGCAAATTAGCGCACCTAGTTTTCTACCATTTATATTTAGGTATTCCAATTATTTATTTAGAGAACTCCACCATATAACATTAGATTGATACTTTGTTTCGCTAGCACATTGTTGTGAAACGTGGCAAGTGTACCAATTATACAAGTATCAATCTAAGTTGTCACATTTTAGCACATTATCCTAAACGTGGAAAGTGTCCCACAAGAATTAGAATTATAAGCATTAATTCATTTCCTAGATCTATGATGGATGATTTGAAATTTAGGGATATAGTTCTTGAACTTTAAATCTTAGAACAAACTGTTTTTGGATATTTTAATAATTTGAAAGTAAGAATAAGCAAACTGAATTTAAATGCAAAAAAGCGTTGATTTCCTCTAATTGGATCTTATTTAATTTTTACAGAAAAACCTAATTTTCTAGGATCTTCTCGTAATGGGTCTTGTTTCTACAAACCAATCGCTTAAGCATGCAAATGGCAGTGTGAATTTCCAGCATCAGGTATGCGCACATAAGCATGTAGCATGTATTCCATCGTTGTTGAATGCCCTCTGCTTTCATGTTTTATGCATAACTTGTACTCATTTTATTGATACAATCTTGGACTTGTGGGCAAGAAAAAAGAAATATCTATTGTTTAGAAGAAGTGGGTAATATTAAAAATCAATAAGAGATTTGAACATATGTATAAAATAGATGAGATTATTAATCATGAACACAGTGCTATAGTAAGAATAAAGAACAAACCCAAAGTGTCTCCATAATACAATTTCCCCTCTCACTGATGCTTAAGGTTAATGGACACTTGTCTCTCAAGATAAAATAGATTGCGTTGTTGGGAATAGAACAAGGGAGCCCAAAACCCTTTGCAAATGGTACATCCACTAATGGGCCAACTAATAAACCACAATAAGTGAGCCAACACCACATCCCAACCCAAAACCTTAAGGTTGTAGGTTTATGGGTCTTTTTGCACTTATATGGTCATCACTTGGTCTATGTTTAGCCTATGTGGAACATACTTCACCACCACTCACTCACACTTGATTATTTCCAACAGTTTGAAGATTGATGATACAAACCCAACTGTCAATGTCCCAACACCTCGCCCACGTAAGCCACCATCTTACCTCTCAGACTACGTGCAAGGAAGATACAACAATAGAAGTTAAAGACTTGCTGACCTTCAGTTATTTTAATAGACCAAATGCACGTCCACTGCATTCTTGTATTTTTGTTGTTTAGTTTTTATTTTCTGCGGTGTCAGTTATTAAGTTTTAATTAGTGGGAAGTCAGTTATTAAGTTTCAGTTTTCTGTAATTAGTGGAAAGAAACTGCTCATTGTAATTTGTATTTAATGTTTTTATCATTTAAATGAAAGGATCAGAATTATTATTCCATTTACGTTACTTTTCAAAGCTTAGCCTTTTTGCTAAAAAGGTCCCCATCATTTGGTGCTTTCATTGAACACACTCTCCCTCCATGGCAGAAGGAACACGGTTCCGGAAGCTTGAAGAAACACAAGAGACTCAAACAAACCATATCAATCAACTTCGTGACTCTACCACCAAAACCTCTACCCAAATTTCTGAACTCACAGAACAAACCAACCAAACTGTCCTTCGTCTAAATGAAGTTCAAACTACTCTCACCACCTTGCTGGGGCGCCTCGATCAACTGACACTTAGCAACAATACCAATTCTTCCAACACACCACCTTATTTCCCTCCGGTCCTTCAACCTCGTGCCTTTAAGCTAGAGTTTCCTCGGTTCAATGGCAGTGATCCATCAGGATGGCTCTTCAAAGCAACACAATTTTTTGACTTCCACAACACTCCCCAACACCAAAAGCTCCAAATAACTTCCTTCCACATGGATGGACCAGCTCTAGCATGGTTTCAATGGATGCACTCTAATTATCCATTTCATGACTGGAACGAGTTCACGCAAGCATTAGAAGCTCGCTTTGGTGACTCACCATATACTGATCATATGGGATCCTTAGCCAAACTTCAACAGACCACCTCTGTGGCTGACTACATTGCCACGTATGAAGCATTAGCCAACCGTACCACCAACCTCCCTGCAGAATTCCTCCTTCGCAACTTCATTTCCGGTCTCAAACCAGCCATACGACAAGAAGTCCAGGCCTTACAACCAACCACTATTTTTTCCGCCCAAGGATTAGCCAAACTACAGGAGGAGAAACTTGCCGATCTACACTCTAAACCCACTGCCATCACTGCTCTAGCCTTGCCTGCACCAAAATCAACGACTTTGTCACGCCCTTCCATTTCTTCAACACCTTCCCTTCCACCCGGTGTCCGTCGCCTCACACCTGAGGAAATGAAAACCCGCCGTGAACAAGGATTGTGCTTTAATTGTGACGAACGATTCTCCCGTGGCCACAAGTGCAAACAGCCCTCCAATCTCCTTCTCATAGAGGATATCACTGACATTCCACCCGAAACTGAAATCGACCCAATCACCCCCCTTTCAACCGAAACACTTGACATCTCTCTCCATGCCTTTGCTGGCCAAGACTCTCCCCGTACACTTCGTCTGCAAGGGTACATTAAGGGTGTCACAATACAAGTTTTAGTGGATGGCGGTTCAACTCAACTTCATTCAACAACGGATGGCAAACCACCTTCATCTTCCTGTAGATACCAATCACTCTTTTCCTGTTACAGTGGGTAATGGAGATACGTTGCAGTGCTTTGGTTTGTGTCTTGCTGTTCCTGTTCAACTTGCTGGACACATTTTTCACATTGATTTATTTGTTCTTCCCCTCCATGGTGCTGATATTGTTCTTGGAGCTCAATGGTTGCGTCAATTAAGCCCAGTTACCTTTGACTACCGTCTCCTTACCTTGTCATTTCATTTCAACTCTGAACCTGTCACACTTCATGGATACACTCCTCCTATGTCCACCCCTATTACATCATCCACAGTAAGACGTCACTTGGCTACTTCTTCCATCGCAACACTCTACCATCTTCACCTTAATACAGATTCTACATCCACTTCTCCCACTATTCCACACGACATTGCTCCTATCATCCAACTCTTTCACCATCTCCTTGAGCCACCTAGTGGTCTTCCTCCCCCCAGAAACCAAGATCATCGCACCCTCTTACTTCCAGGAGCCAAACCCGTCAATGTCAAACCCTACCGTTACCCGTACTTTCAGAAACAAGAAATTGAGCGTCAAGTTCATTCAATGTTGCAAGATGGACTCATTCAGCCTAGCCTAAGCCCATTTAGTTCACCTGTCCTCCTTGTCCGTAAAAAAGACGGTACCTGGCGCTTTTGCGTTGACTTTCGTGCCCTCAATGCCATCACTACCTGTGACCGTTTCCCTATCCCCACCATTGACGAGCTCTTTGATGAACTTAGGGGCTCCAAATATTATCAATCAACAGTCCGAACGATCACAACTGAATGTGATTTACAAAAAACGGAAACAATTTAAATAATGGAAATTGGCCCGATCTCATAGAGTCTCTTACTTTCCCCTTGTCATCAGGCCATAGTACTAAACTAACAGTAAAAACTGTAAAAAGGTATTTTTCTCTAACAACCCAACTTCAATACACATGACAGAACAAGAGTCAAACTGCATTGTGATGAAGAGCATCCTTTATTAACCTAAAGAAATCATTGTAAGACGATCCACTTAAATCAGTAGCTTTTATTGCTTTCTTCTTCCACTCCAAAGACTTCTGTCTCATTTCCTTTCCCTTTTCTCCCATCGTCATATCCTTCAAAATCTTTGTTATCTCCTCTCTCTTGACATCATGGTTAATGTCCATCCCTATTCCCCAAGTTGTGCATGCATACCTGCAATTTGTTTGTTGCTCAGCAAAGAAGGGCCAACAGATCATAGGCACACCAGCAGATATGCCTTCTATTGTAGAATTCCAACCACAATGAGTTAGAAAGATGCCAACTGATGGGTGAGCAAGCACTTGGTCTTGAGAGCACCAGCTTGTTATATATCCTCTATCCTTGATCTCATCTAAGAACTCTTGTGGCAAAGTTACAGATTCTCCCATTACAACATCTGGCCTCATTATCCATAAAAATGGTACCTTGCTATTTGCTAATCCCCAAGCAAATTCTTTCAAGTGATGCTCTGTCATGACAGTTATACTTCCGTAATTAACATATATGACCGAACAAGGTTCCCATTTGTCTAGCCATTCTATGCATTCTGGATCATTTTTCCAAAAGCTTGACCCACTCGACATGAAGCCATTTTCCTTTTCAGAAAAATGCCTACCTAGCAGGTGAAGTGGGCCAACGCTGTATATGTCAGGGTTCTTGGCCTTAAGGGCATCAAGGGCTTCACCTTCCAATTCTTGAAAAGTGTTGATAATGATTGAAGATGATCTCAAACAGTTACGTGCCTCTGAACCCAAGAAATCAAACATGATATCATCTAGAGTGGTGGTTCTAATGAAGCTTGGAAGGTCTTGGAGTCGGATATTTTTCATTCCTGAGATCCAATCTAAACTTGTATCCAAGGTGCCATCGCTAACGAAATTTTCATCTAAAAATTTGACAAAGGTAAGTAAAATCAGATAACATAAATATTAATGTACCAAAAGGATAACTTAAACATTGAAATATTTGTTATAAATTTGGTATATTGTCATTTTTTCTGTAGTTATCTTTTTCCTTATATAAGCATCAACTGCTTTAAGAAGAAAACTCAAATTGATAAGGAATTATTTAACTAATACCCAATAAAAATAAAAATCATTTATTAACAACAGATTTTTGGAAGAACCTGTCATTACATAATTTTGTTTTTGTTACAATGAGAGTTTTTTTCACCACTATTAGAACCTATATATTCTGTACTTAAATATCGTGCACCTTAATCACTCGAGCTGAATTTCAGTCATACTGAAGAGGTTAATGTGACACTGTAGCGGGCCCGACTGGGATAAACAGCTAGAGTTTAGCTATTGTCATAGGGCCCAAAAGAGAATAACAAACAAGGTCAGGCATTTTCGGGACTATAAGATAACTAAAGTCAGGATCCAACATTAAGCTGAGAGTATTGGGCTTGAGAGCCTCAAACTTCAGTATTAATCAGCTATATATAAAATTAATTGAACTATGGATAATTTTATTTTGTAGGACCTTTATGTCGGTGTAGAAGGAAATGAAAGGGTAAGCAGAAAATCACAAGAATTTATCTCTCTTCCCTCTACTCTCCTCCTATCCCTACTCCCCTCCCCCCGTGTCTTCTCCGACCTGACCCTAAGAACCAGGGGATTATAGACCCTTTGTCTTATGGTCGCCTTGTCAACATCATTCATTATTAAATGGTATAAAATCAAAATAATGGTAGTTCACTTTGCACCGACAAACTGAGTCGGTGAAAGTGAGTGAATATATTCGATTCTTTTTAGTATTATTTTTGGGAGACATATAAATTCACCAATTGAAATATTTAAAAAAAATAATATAAAGAAATTTCGTCAGCAGAAATAATTTATCAACTTTATATTTAAATTAATACACTTTTTGTTCAAAATATTTCTTTTACGGGCTAGGGATTTTATTACGGCTTTGTAAAGAGTCAAGAGTCAAGTTTTGAGTGTACCAAAAAAAACAATAATAAAGAGTCAGGTTTTGATAGTTGCAGCACCTCATGGGCTAAGGATTCTATTACGGCTTTGTAAAGAGCCAGGGGTCAAGTTTTGAGTGTACCAAAAAAGCAATAATAAAGAATCAGGTTTTGATAGTTGCAGCACCTTATGCGCTAAGGATTTTATTACGCCTTTGTAAAGAATAAAGAGTCAAGAGTCAAGTTTTGAGTCTTAAAAAAAAAACATATAATAAATAAAGTATTTTTTTGAGTCCCTGACAAAAATAGGGTTTTCATTTTAGTCCCAATGTCTCTAAGAAATTTAAAATTACTTATTTAATTGAAATCGTGATTTTTCATAAATTCAAAAAAAATCTATATTAAATCTTCAAAAAAAAAATAAAATAAATCTATTTTGAATTCGTAGAGACCAGAAGACCAGAAGATTAAAAAAAAGTATAAAAAGATAAATGAGAACTGACTAAAGAAAAAGCTTTACTCAAAAATAAATAAAGAGTCAGGATTTGATAGTTGCAGCACCTTATGAGCTAACGATTTTATTACGGCTTTGGAGTCAAGTTTTGGTATAGTTGTTAAGCCTCTGCTGACGTGGCTTTAGGAAATTAGATGAGCTGTATAGTTAGTTACTTAACAGCTGTACTAAAAAGAGTCTAGGGTGGTGTTCGCAATCTGGATTGAATTAATTTTGAAAGTAAAAATTGTCTGATTCAATTCTTTCGATTTGATCATATAATCATCCATTCGTGTTAGATTTTTTTTTTCAAATCCGATCTGATTCAATCTAATTTTTTTTGATTTGGATTGAATCGATTTTCAATTTTTGAAAATCCTAAAATTTGTTTCATAATTATTGTGCAAATAACATTTTTTTTGTTTATATTGACTTTGTAATTTTTTTTTTGAAATATCAAAGCATCAGTAGATGATAATATAATTTTTTTTATGAGATGTGAGTAGGTTTATTTTTGTATTTAGTTGATGGTTTAATGAGTCTTGAGTTTAAAAATTTTTGGGCTATGATTGAGGAAAGACCCAAGTAGGTAGAGAGAAATTAATATATTGGATCGGTTTGGATTGAATCGGTTTTCATCAACCAATCTAAAAACTACTCTAATCCAATTAAAATTTACAATTTTTTTAATTTTTAATTTATTTAGTTATCGATTTTTCAGTTCGATCACCCTTTGAATTAACAATGCGAAACTCATGAGTTGAAGGAAATCAATATTTTTTTTCCTTCTTTTCTGTTATCCGTGACTGTTCATCTGAGATATCCAAGATAAGATCCGAGATCCGCTATCTTATCATAATACGAACCGCGTTATTTTTTCTATTCTTATTGTATTTTTAATTTTATTAACAATTTATATGTTATATCACTGTAGTGACATTGATTTCAACTTGGTACGCGACTTATTTTTTATAACGAAAAATTTATAACACTACTTTAGTTTATTTCAAATTTATATTCATTAAAATCTTGTTATATAATTCAACATTTTTATTTATTTAAAAATATGTATGCTTATTTAAGATTTAGTGGTTAGAAGCAATCAATTTATCCGTAGGTGATTCGTATGGTTCAGATCTTATTCAGAAAGAATAATGGATTAGATATGCCTTCATTATGAGTGTAAATTTAATATTTTTATAAAAAAATTGAATTGGTAAAACTTTTCGAATTTTGTGATAATTTCAAGCAGTAAAATGAATATAAAACTGTTGATGGAAAAATAAACAAAATCATGCCGGTTTTTGCTGTCTTAAGTCATCAATATTATCACATAAACTCTAGAATGGAGACGCACACAAAATCGAAAACCAACAGAGAGAGAAAAAACCGCACCTTTGAATGGAAGAATACCTCTTCTAACAAGTTCATCGTATTGCAAATATCCCACAAAGCCACAACCCGAGGCTGTCCAAAACTGTAGCTCTCTTATGCCTAAATCTTTTGCCACTTTTCCAGCGAAGCCCATAGTCCCATCAGCAATTATGCAGCTAACTGAAGGCACATCAGGTGAACAGTTCAGCTTCCTTACCAGCTCTTTCAATGGTTCATAACAATTTTTCCTCGTTGAATCACACAGTAGTGGAACATCTTGAGTTGCATTCTTCTCTGATGGTGGCAAACCATCTGGTATGGTCTCAAATCGAAAATCTGGCAGACCCTTCACAAAGTCGGGTCCAAGAGACTTAACTAAACGATTGTGGTTGAACTCAGTGTTCACAAATGTTATGTGAAAACCAATGCAACGAAGAAGTTTGGCGAATTGCATGAAAGGGTTTACATGGCCCTGTGCTGGGAACGGTACACATACAGCATGAAGCTTTACGCTATGAAGCGAGTCCATTTTTTGTTTTCCTTGAATATGGGATATTGTGTTCAAATAACAAAACAGAGCACAAGAAATTGAATATCTATGAAGGATGAGGACTTGAAGAATGACTGTCTTTTAGCTTTCCTCGTCTTATCTTTATGTTAAGAATCAAGTTGTTCCACGGCCTCAGGGTCCTTGAGGGATAAGAAAACTAATGAGATGATGGTATTGAGAAGAAAAAAGAGAGAGAGAGTAAAGTAAATATTATTTATTTACTTTTTAAATAAATAAACTAATGAATTCTAGATATTATATTCCAAATTAAAAACTTTTATTCAATTGAAAATACATAATCATACAATAACATACACGGAAACACTCCAAATATAAGCAATGTTTGATCAATTGCATGCATACACATATTTTATTTTATAGCCTTGCTTTCGATTAGTCAAGGCGTAGTAATTGCATTATAATATTTTATCTAATAGCCCAACCTTCGGATCTCTCATGAAGGACTCAAATAGCGGAGTGACGAAGGGCCTCCTTTATTAATCGATAGAAATCACTGTAAGATGACCCTCCTACGTCAGTAGCTTCTATTAATTTCTTCTTCCACTCCAAACACTTTTGTCTCATTTCCTTCCCCTTTTCTCCCGTTATCATTTCTTTCACAAGTGTTGTTACCTCATCTCTTTTTACATCATCGTTGACGGCCATCCCTATACCCCAATTTGTGCTTATATACCTGCAATTTGTTTGTTGCTCAGCAAAGAAAGGCCAACCAATCATAGGAACACCCCCACATATACCCTCAAGTGTAGAATTCCAGCCACAATGAGTTATAAAGATCCCAACTGATGGATGAGCAAGCACTTGGTCCTGAGGGCACCAGCTTGTTATGTATCCTCTATCCTTGACCTCATCTAAGAACTCTTGTGGCAATTGTATACATTCACCCATTACCAAATCTGGCCTTATTATCCACAAAAATGGTAGATTGCTGTTTGCTAGTCCCCAAGCAAATTCTTTCAAGTGATGCTCACTCATCACAGTTATACTTCCATAATTAACATATATGACTGAGGAAGGTTCCCATCGATCTAGCCATTGGATGCATGTTGAATCATTTTTCCACAAATTTGAACCACTTGACTCGAAGCCTTTGTCCCTCTGAGGAAAATGTCTACCAAGCAATTGAAGTGGACCAATGTTATATATGCTTGGGTTCGTGGCCATAAGGGTATCGAGGACTTCACTTTCCAATTCTTGGACGGTGTTAATTATGATTGAAGATGATCTCAAACAGTTTTTTGCTTCGAAACCAAAGCAACTAAAATTGATATCATCTAGAGTGGTGGTTCTAACGAAGCTTGGGAGGTCTCTGATTCTGATATTTTTCATTCCAGAGATCCAATCTAGAGTTGTATCCAAGGAGCCATCAGCAGCAAAATTTTTATCTGAAAATTTGACCAAAGAAATTAAGTTACAAGATTACACAACTGAAACATTTTAATTTATTTTTTTTATAAAAAAAAAAATTCCGGTAATCTTTTTTTAATGTGGGTACTTGGTACAGCTTGTTATCCGTCTCTATTATATGAGCGTAAACTACTTTAAACGTCAGAGCAGTTCTCTCATGTTACACGCTATTTAAAAGCAAAAAGAAAAAAGAAAAAAGAAGGGGCACGATTTTTAAAGTGAGAGAAAAAGAGATAACTACTTTATGTAAAAAAATGAGAGTAATATTTTCCAATATTTATTTAATGAACAAGAATGAAACATTATCGTTGGCTCAGTTTATAAAAGGATTTAATGAGTATTAGCTTAGTACTAAAAAGAGACAGAAACCGTCACCACCTTCGAAGGGAAGAATGCCTCTTCTGACAAGCTCATCGAATTGCAAATATCCCACTAATCCACAAGCTGAGGCCGTCCAAAACTGTTGCTCTGAAATGCCAGAATCCCTTGCCACTCTTCCGGCAAAGCCCATAAGCCCATCGTATATGATTGAGCTAACTAGAGGCACTTCAGGTGAAGTGTTGAGCTTTCTTATGAGCTCTTTCAATGGAGCATAACAATGTTTTCTAGTTGCATCACACAATGATGCAATGTCTTGGGTTGCTTCCTTATCAGATGGAGGCAGACCATCCGGTATGGTCTCAAATCGAAAATGTGGCTGTCCCTTTACAAAGTCTGATCCAAGCGACTTAACCAAACGCCTGTGGTTGAACTCAGTGTTCACAAATGTTATATGGAAACCAGTACAAAGAAGGAGTTTGGCCAATTGCATGAAAGGGTTTACATGGCCCTGTGCTGGGAATGGTACACAAACAACATGTGGCTTCTGAGTATGGGACAAGTCCATTTTTCTTTTTTCTTTTAAAATAGGATGTTAGTGCTTTCAAATAATAGAGCGAAGAAGTAGACTGGCAGTGAAAGGGGGGAAGGACTTGTACGAATGGCTGTGGCCTGGTTTTCTCCGGCTTCCCTTATATAGTGCTAAGAATCAACTGTTGTAAATAAACTGAAAGAATCAACTGTTGTAAATTTTAAAGATTAAACCTAAGGTTTAAAGTTTGTCATGGTACATGATAAACTTTTAACTTTCCTTCCCAAATAAACAAACGTGGAATCCACCATTTTTTTTTAAAGAAAAAAGGAAAAGAGCTGATGGAACTGTTGCTATCTGTGCAGAAAAGTTAGAAATTTGTCCCGTAACATCAAACACTTTTAATCCTTAGGGGCTGTTTGGTAGGAAGGCAAAAGAAAATTGCTCACGAAAACAGGGTAGAGAAAATTATAGGATTTTATTACTATTATGTTATATAACTCAAGAAAATTTTCTTACACACACAATTAAGAGGTGGGATCCACATATTTTTTTTTTCTCTTTCATCATTCCATCTTCTCTCTCTTCTTTATTGTGAGGGTAGGAAAATGTTCTTATATCATGTAACATTATAGTAATAAAATCCAAAATTATATGACTATATTTGATACGAAGAAGAGTTGAAAGGGGTGTGGAAAAAATTCTTTCCCGTCTAATTGTTTTACACACAAACCATAATGTGAATTTTGCCATTGAATGGGTGGAAATTCTTTTTTGCTAAGCTGCAGTGAAGGTATAACATCTTTTGGTTGACAAAATTAGCCTGCACATGTGTCTCAATAAAATGATACTCTGTGAATTTGTGCAATCGGAAACATACCCTGCACATTTTTTTATTTGTGCAATCGGAAACATACTAATTTGTATTTACTTGTTTTTTTTTTCTACTGATTTATTACAAATCTGATAAAATGATTTTGTTCATTATTAATTTTTTATTTTATTTTTCAGTTAATTATAAATGTAAAAAATTTTGTTGCAGATTTGTTACATCTGTACAGGAAATTCAATATTCAAAATGGTGGGCATTTTGGTAACTTACGTTTACTTTCCCATCAATATTTTACAACCATCCAAACACATCAGTAAAATTCACCCAATTTTTCAGAAAAAATTTTGTCCTACCAAACACCTTTTTTAACTTACCTGGCAAAAAATTCTTCCCACCATATTTTGAGCAAATTTTTTTTTCTTGGTAAAATATTTTTCCTGTACCAAACGCCCCCTTAAAGCTTTCACGGTACTAATGTTTTAAATATTTTTGTCACAATTAATTTTAAAATATTTAAAACATTATCATATTTGTCTTTATACAAAACTAAACTATTAATACAAAAAAATCAATTTAGTATCAATTTACTCTATTCTAAAACCTTCGTCGATTATTTGAATCCGTCTTAACAGGACGTTTGTGAACACCTTGTTTTGTCCCTTTTTTATATCATGTCTTTTCCATTTTTTATTATATTTTCATTTTTTTAAGGAAAAAAATATAATAATAATAAAAATTATAGTAATAGAAGTATTAAATTTTTATTTTATTTATTTATTTTAGCCCACTACCAACAGCCCAATCCAAATAATTGTGAATATGACAACAAACTTCGCTTATCGTTTTTAAAATTGAAATTGTAACTCTTTACCAACAATTCTAAGATTTTAATATGTTATACTAGACATCTCAAGCTTTCCAATGACATATTACATGTCTCAATTGGAGTTGTATAACTCCGGTTATATTTTCAGTAACCAAGATGCTACTTCAAAATTAAACTACTGTAAATTCGCTTATCCAACAGCTATGAATATTTACAGAGTTGTAGCCCTATATGTTAGCTTCACATAGGTTTAAACCTCACTTAATTTGGAGCTTTGTAGCTTGAGATATCAAATTTTTACTAAAACATGTCGCTGTTGTCTAGACCAAATATCGGGATACGTATTGTTCACATATCCGGATATTTGATATTGGGATACACACTGTTCACATATTCGGATATTAGATATCGGGAGACACACTGTTCAAATTTCTGAATATTATATATCGGGATACACACTGTTCACATATCCTGATATATGTCGCAAAATATCAATTTTTCGTCCAGAAGCTTATTTTCAAGCAATAAAAGGTACCATTTTTAACATTTAATGAGGTTCCAGCTACTATTTTTAAGGATGTTTAAGCTAGTAATCATCTTGGTCACTTATTTTTCTCATTTAACATCTCCAAGACTCAATATTTTCGTATGAAACATAAGAGGAAAGGTTGAGACATATACTTAAGGCTTCAAAATTGTAAAAAAAGATTTTGAAGGCTTTGATGCTACTCCATGCTATTGTCCAGAGGTTGCACGAATATTTCTTGGGAAAGCTTGGTTCTTTCTTCACCAAAATCTCTCCTTGATGGTTCAATGTATATGTAAGTGACTCCAATCCACTCAACCTAAAAGGACAACCTTCTAACCTCACAAAACAGAATCTTAAACCCTTCAAGAATGGGTTTTTCTCCTCTAAAATGCTTTCTCTCAAGTATTTACAATGTTTGGGTGATCAAATGATGAAGAAATGATGTGTCTTGGTTGTTTTCTTGAAGAAATGATGAAATCCTAGAAGAGAAGAGCATTTTCTGCTATAAGAGAAAATAAAGAGGGTGGTTTACGTAGGTGAACAAAAGAAATAAGAGTGAGTGACTAGGTTTAAGTTATTTACAGTAGACTGACTTAACTCAACCGGTATAGACCCACTCGCTACAATCGTCTAACTCACTATTAATTTTGGACCACCGTGTCATATAAAATTTATGACGCATGAATCTATAATTTATTTTCAGTTTCGGATATTTTTCTATACCTGCTGTTTCTACCGCAGGTATAGAAAAATTTATTTTGTTGTCATTAACTTCATAAAACTTATGGAATAATAATTGCTAATTATCTTTAAGTTTCGAGTAATTTCGCCCCTACTGCATTTTTTACCGCGAAACCCTCAATATTTATCCTTTCATCAAAAGGTGCTTTATCTTAATTAATTAAAATAATTAAATCTTTCATTTAATAATCCTCATTTAGTTATTATTTAATTTTAAAAATTATAATTTAACGGTGCAGGTTCTTACTACTTTGCTTCCTCACTCCCAAAGCACGACCAACACTTGTAACTGGTGATAATTTAACAAATACATGCTTTCCTTCATTGAACCTTTCAGTTACTCTAACAAATACAACTCTCCTTCACCGGTCTATGCTTATTATCATAGTAACTTTTCTGACGACTTTATACCAATTTCAGTTATCTCTGATCATTTCTATCTGCTCAGTTGTTTCTTGCACAAAATCATGTCCAAACCTTTCCTTATCACCTACCTCATACCAACACGTTGGAGTCCGACATCTCCGTCCATACAATGCCTCATAAGGTGCCATGCCCAAACTGGAGTGAAAACTATTATTATATGAAAATTTCACCAATGATAGGTACTTATCCCAAGTAGTACCTGCTCCAACATACAAGCTTCAAAAGTTATTATTATCCTCCAATGTATGAATGGTCCTCTTAGTATGATCATCAGTCTGTGGATGGTACGCAGTACTCAGTCTAAGCTGAGTGCCAAAAGCCTGTTGCAAAGCTCCCCAAAAATGTGAAGTGAACTTTCGGTCCCGGTCGCTCACAATACTAACAGGATTCCCATGAAGTCGTACAATTTCATTCACATAGAGCTTCCTCAATATCTCAATAAAGAAGTTAACCTGCACCGGTAGAAAAAGTGCAGACTTAGTCAGTGTAACACCCCGTTCATGACCAGCGCATTAACATACATATGATATTAAGCGTTGTTACAATCATGGTGTTTGAATTAAAATATGGTAGAACCTTTTGGTTTTGAAACAATGTTTTCATTTAAAATAACCATACTTAATGCAAATAAAACATGATTGAGGACCCAATGAAAACAAATTGGAATATTTTTTCTAACCCTTTTAGGTAGAATGCTACCATAGGTGGATTGTGATCTTGTGGTTAATAAGGATAATTGAGATGAGTTGATATCATGAGGATAATGTTGGTAAATCTTCTCTATATGTGTGGAGTAGTTAAAACAATAAGGTACATATGGATTTAGTGGTCTGACTTTGACATAGAGGGTGACTTGGAATCCCGGTGAACTCTTGGAAATTTGAATAGGTATGCTTATATCTAAGCTTGGATACATTGAGGTTAGATAAGAAAGTTATAAGTCCCTAATGGAGGGCATACACTTTAATGAATTGAGATGTTTAGGTGTAGAAATAATTTGAATCTTTAAAATCTGATTGTGAGGAATGTGAGTACCTTGGAATGACTGTGACAGTGATGAAGGTACGTTAATGTTGGAATATGAAATTTCAGTCCACGATGATGTCATATTGATTGGACATAAGTGAGGATATCATGATGTATTGTGAGTACAATGGAAGAAGTTGAGAGAATTGCCATAGATGGCATTGGACAAGGTATATTGAAAGTACAATTGTCAATAATGGAATACTGGTTTAACTTGACAGATATGCCATGAAGGAAACAAATGTGATATAAGAAAGTATGACTAAATGTTATATACTACTAGTAGTAGTGTGCTTTTATAATGTCTGATAGTTTGTGATTTTATAATATTGTAACATGTTTAGAATGTGCATTAATGTGTGGGATTTCCTCTGGAAATGGCTCCTTTGCGGAGGTTCAGGTGGCATAATGCCTAAGAGGATTGATCAAGGATGGTTGTCTCTTGGAAATCCCAATGGATGAATATTGTATTTTTAAATGGCTTGATTGCCATGTTAGTATTTGGGTGTCCTAAAGACAATCTTATGATTAAATAAGGACATAGATGTAGACCTTTTTAATATTGTCGCAAATAAATAAAAGCACTCTTTATCTTGTTTCATAATTCTGTCTCGATATTAATGTTAATATATTATGAATAACTTGATAAACCCCGT